GATATAAGGTTTAAAACTTGGTTAGATGGACAGTTTTTACAGTTTTTGGCTGATATAAGGTTTAAAACTTGGTTAGATGGACAGTTTTTGCAGTGTACAACTGATCACCTTTTGGAGTCAACCCATTTCAAGATGGCCGCCAAAGCTAACTACCTTAGCACAGTGGTTCTCAAATTGGTGTTTGGACCCCACTGTGGGTCATGAAACACCAAATGGGCTGTCTTAGACGATCTATGATTAATGACACTTTTCTGTATCTTATTGGTTGAGACCCTCGATATTGACATTTTGCTGCTATTCAATATGCTGATATTGTTCAACACTTCATTTCTGATTCCAATATTAACCGATATTACAAACAGATATAAACGTGACATCACATATCTCCTGTCAGGGACATTATGTCTGCTTTTTGATAACCACTGGATGATTTCCATAGGTAAACATTGTCTGTACAAAATAAAAACCATTTAACTGAAGTTAGGGGAAAAGTGCCATGTTTATTTTTAACATTTTGTCTCAAACAATAGTTTGGATCATGCTCTCCTTGAGATAATCCAGTTTGATGATGTCATCAAATGCACACCAGTAAACGTCCCTGGACCACACGCATTTATTAACACGTTTTGGTCAAATCTAGGTGTTAATTTATCGGGCTTTTGTTATCAGAATAAAGACTGATACTGATATGCAGAGATTTTACATTTTTTTGCTGATATCAGACGAATAATATCTGTAAGCTCAGCTGATATTATTGGACATCCCTACTTATTGGTATAATTAAAATATTCAACCAGCTGTAATGTGGGTTAAAAAGATTTGCTACTTTAATTTTGTGGGCCAGAAATTAAAACATTTAGGCACGCCTCAGTCAAAGTTTTATTTTATTGAGTTTGATGAAAAATAAAAAAATAACTGTGAAAAAAACATCCACTGCTTGAAAATTCTAATGTTTCTTACTGATTGTTGGTCTCAGTCTGCAGAAACTTCATGTCACTTGTTTGAAAGTGAACTTTGTCCTGGTCCAGAGTCCCAGGTGTTTGTTGTGGTCTAGGTCCCCAGGTGTCGGTCCTCCTCAGGCCTGTTGTTGCTCATTACTCTGCAGGGACATCATTAGTGTCCGCGGCTCTCAGCGGATGGACAGATATTGGCTCAGTTTCACTTCTTCATGGGGAATTACAGGAAAGTGTGGCAACTTCAAAGATGCTTCAGAGACAAGAGGTTAATGAGCTGTGGTGACCTTTGACCTCAGGGGATTCAGTAATGAGCTAGAGTGATGTAACTTCAGAAAACAAGTGAGTATGAGTGGTTTCCCACAGACAAAAATAACAAAATGTTTTTCTTCCAAGGATGATATGATAATGTTAACTACTGTGAGAAAAATATAGAATTTTAGAGTAATCAGGACCTTCTAAAAGTTGGAACTGCAGATATTTGTACTAATTATTTTATAGATATGAACCATGTTCACTGCACAATCTGTAGTTTTCTTCAGGTTCTTGCTGAACCAACTCTTCTTTGATTGTTTGTTGGACGCTTTTTACTGAGCGTTCCTATTGAACTACTACTAAAGCAGTTAGACCTGTTGGATCAGTCAGACCAGTAGAACTAGTTGAACTGGTTAAACCAGGTCAACCAGTTAGACTTGTTGAATCAAGCTTAACTCATAAACCAGTYGGATCAGTTGGGCTAATAGCACCATTTAGACTGATTAAACCAGTTGGAACAGATAAACKTGTTCATCCAAATAAATCAATTCATCTTGTTGAATCAGGTGGGTTGGGTTATCAAGGTGGACAAGGAAAACAAGTTAGACCAGGTAGATCAAATAGAATATTGGACTAGTTGAAACATTTGGACAAGTTAAAGCAAYAGAAGCAGTTGGATTAGTTGGACCAGACAAATGAGGTAGTCAAGTTGAACYGGTTGGTCCTGGTAGACCAGATGGACTACATATTGGGCTGTTTGAATCAGATCAGGGACCCTACTTGGAGTAGTTGCATTACTTTAAACAGTTACACCAATTGGACCATTTTACCCAACTGGACCAGTTATACCAGTTGGACTATTTTAACCAACTGGACCAGTTACACCATTTGAACCATTTTAACTAACTAGACCAGTTATGCCAATTGGACCATTTTACCAAACTGGACCAGTTATACCAGTTGGACCATTTTAAACAACTGGACCAGTTACACCATTTGAACCATTTTAACCAACTGGACCAGTTACGCCAGTTGAACCATTTTAACCAACTGGCCCAGTTACAACAGTTGAACCATTTTAACCAACTGGACCAGTTACACCAGTTGGACCATTTTAACCAACTGGCCCAGTTACACCATTTGAACCATTTTAACCAACTGGACCAGTTACACCAGTTGGACCATTTTAACCAACTGGACCAGTTACACCAGTTGGACCATTTTAAACAACTGGACCAGTTACATCAGTTGGACCATTTTAAACAACTGGACCAGTTACACCAGTCAAACAAACTTAACCATTGGACTGAATAAGTTGGACCAACTGTATCAAGTGAATCAGTTACTGGACCAGTTACACCAGTCAAACAAACTTAACCATTGGACTGAATAAGTTGGACCAACTGTATCAAGTGAATCAGTTACACCAACCTGGTCAAATGAATTAACTGGATTAACAACAACAGTTGGACAATTTTAACCAACAGAACCAGTTGGAACAATTGGCAGCTCATTAAACAGCTCATTACACCTCTGGACTAGTAACATGAGTTGGACCATTTAACTGAACTAGTTACACCATTTGGACCATCTCCATTGAACCGTAAGTCGCATGCATCTCAACATTGATATTTGATGCTGAAACTGATAATTAACTATGTCTTCAGACAACTGAATGAAATCACATCCTAAAAGTTTAATCTCTTCTTCATAAACATGGTGATAATCTCACTGACAGCCAACAGAGAGCGTAAATTCATAACTTCTGCCACAGTCAGGTGAAGGACGCCACCTGCCTGTGACAGAGACACACTGCAACACAAAATAATGATTAGCTCATCTGGATCAGTCTAAATCTCTTTCTGCTTCCCAGTGGTTTGTTAAAACCTGTTTTATGGAGTTTTCTTTAACCAAACAGAGCTCTAAAACAAGTATTTCAATGAAAAGTTTAGGTTGAAGGGGATCAACATATCAGAGTTTGAGGGTTGACAGTTTGGTGTAAAGGGGTCCCTGAAGTAAAGACTGAAGACAAAACTCAAAAAATGAGATGGTTTTATTCAGTCTGGGAGTCCACACATCTTCATGTTGAAATATAATCATMGATAACTCACTAATGTGACAAAAATTTCACTGAATCTTGTTTCAAAGCTGCCTGGGGGACCTTTTCTCTGAAAAGATTCACTCAGTCTTCCTGTACACCTTCAGATTGTGGCACAATGAAACCATCAGAGACCAAGAGACCGGCTCTGGTCCCTGCAAGACCTGAACGAGACTGACCCAATTTTACAGGCCTCAAACAAGTCTTTTCGTCTTTATGTCTTAAAGACATCGAGCCAAAGTCCAAGCAGCTACACGCTAACTTTGGTTTACAAGTTTTTAAACTCAGCACCCTCATCCTCCTGGTCCTGGTTGTGATCTACCTCTCGGACCTGATCTTGTACCGCAGGACAAAGTAAGCAATGAGTCTCAGAGAGATGAAGAAGATGGCGAGGACGATGAAGTCCATGTAGAGTTTGGCGTCCAACATGTCGAGCTCCTTCAGGATGGCCTCAGACTTCTGGAAGTGACACACCTCCTCTTCATCACAGTGAAGGTTGTCGCGGTCCAGACCATAGATGGACAAGATGGCGCCCTCAAACCCGTACCTGAAACACAACAGCAGTAAGAACTAGGACTACAACCCCAAAACACCAACTCCTACTTTCATCTTTCAATTATTTTTTAAAAACAATTAGTGATGAATCTGACATGTAAGACTTAGGACCTGTGAAATAAAAGCACCCATTGCTGCCACCGACTGATGTAAATATAGAATTCTGTTTGAAATAACCACTGCACTAAAATAAATGTCTCTTTTAGGTCAATTTTCTGGTCCCAAGTCCAAATAAAAAAGAGGTGTTGTGTATTTATGTGACGTGGTTCTGTAGAGCAGCGCTCTCACCTGACATAGGAGATGTAGGACATCCACTGCAGGTACCAGGGGATGGTGTCAAAGCTCACAAAGAACCCAGAGAACAAAAGAACTGGGATCGCTGTAACCGGACCCACAAACGTGGCCACCTGTGGGAAGCAGACACACCTGAGTTGCACATGTAYGTGAGCATACCTGAYGGGATGTGGGTGAGGGCAGAGGACCGACCTGCAGCGAGGTGGAGGCGGCACCGATCAGTAGACCCAAACTCTGAGCCACCAACGACGTAAGAATCCCCAGAGACAGGAAGAGGAAGAAACGTCTGGCGTCAGGGGGCTGCGCCGTCATCCAGTACACGATGCTGCAGTACACCACCGGAAAGAAGACCTGGACCGAGCAMGACCAGAGAGCACCATCAACTTCAGGTCTCAGACCACGATCTCACAAAACAAGTAGAAACTGACTTCTTCTGTAAGGGAAAATATTATAAAATGTGGTTTGATTAATAAACCTAACCAMGTGTTCATATTGTTACCTGGAAGGGGACGTCTGCCATGGTCTTGGCCAGGTAATAAGCCTTCAGACTGTACCAGTAGTTCAGGTGTTCCCTCAGAAAAACCCCCAACTCCAGAGGAACTGAGGACAGGAACATGAGACACTCAGAAGATGAGCTGCTTTTCATCCATCTGGGCTTCAGGTTAAAACATCATGATACMAGTACTGAGTATGATACTGTGTACATGTACTCATACAAGTGTTCCAAAACCACATTAGTAGTACTGCTTCATGCTACCATGAAGTTCACCTCAGAAATGACTTCTTACCTGGTGGTCAGGTGAACACGACCTGAGCTAATTGTTATCACTGTCTTTAACATCAGTTAGTGAGGAGGCTAAAGAGCTGCTTAATTTATTACTGTGTATTTATTCATTTATTACTGTATATTTATTCATTTATTACTGTGTATTTATTCATTTATTACTGTGTATTTATTCATTTTTACTGTACATTTATTAATGTATTACTGTATATTGTGACCTGCATTGACCTTGTGTTTGATTTACAATTTTTAAATTTAATTCCTGATTTGATGTTTCAATTTTCATTGCTTATGTGTAATTATGTTTTTCTGTTTCATTTTATTCATTTTATTCTTTTCACCATTTTTATACTGTTAATGATTGTACAGCAGCTTGTGAATATATTTTTGTGAAAGGGGCTTTATAAACAAAATTTTACTTACTTACTTATTTAACGAGCTGCTTAATGAGCTGCAGACATGGTCTTAGATTTGTTTTTAGTGAAAAAATGTGTCCAGTGGTRGGCACAGTTCCCCTAAAATACTAACAGGGGAACTAATTTCCTGATTAGTGCTTTAGGGCTTTTGCTAACTTAAGTTTATTAGTGAATTAGCATTTGCTAAATTTATAGGCTAAATTCAGAAGCACTAACTGAGGTCTATAAATGTTATTTATCAAAGTTAATGTTAACAGCTGAGGGTGAAAACTGTCACTGATCCACCAGGTGAGAATATATGAAACAAATCCAGCTGTTGGAGTCARWGATAAACAACAACATGTGACTCATGTTGTCTGTTGAAGAATGTTCATTGGTTGACTGGGTTATTAGTGTTTCAGAATGAGCRTTTGCTAAAACTTTCAGTGCATTAGTGCTTTAGAATTAGGGGACCTAAATATCTGAGTTAATGTTTTAGGRCYAGTGGAACTAATTTCTAGATTAGTGCTGCCCACCTCTGAATGTGTCCAGTTTTTCAAGAATGGAATCACCCGTTGGAACGTATTAAACTTTAAATCAAAGGTCCTACTAATATTAGTACTTATATCAATACTCTGTACCAGCAAGTACAAAAAGTAAGTACTTSTACTCAGTTTGAAAATATGTAGTTTTTGTGAATCTCTGATCATCAAAAAATAAAAAAAGAAAATTAACTGAGAAACTTTGAAGATTTTCTGAAATGAATGTTTTTAAAACTGAAACAAGAACTGGACTGGGTAAAACCGGAGGGTCCGGCTGTCGACTCACATGTCAGAACCGTGGGCATCAGAGCGGCGAACATCAGGAACAACATGGAGAAGAACAGGAACCCGGAGTTACTCAGAACCTTCTTGGCCTCGTTCCCGATGCCCAGGTACAGCAGACCAATCAGAACACCGATCCCGATGTGGGAGGAGATCCTCAGGTGGGTCAGCACCTGTTCAGCCAATCACAGCAGGTTTTACTCACACAATACGTGTGTTTATTCAGCTGCTGTTTACAAACATAACCTAACATTTCTTTAAGAAACAGAAACATTTAAAATGTGATAAATATTTAAACGTATGTCTGACACGACAAACTGGAAATTAAAAAAAGAAATAATCTGATATTCAATCCTTCATTAAAGAAAAAAAGCATTTAAAACAATACAAAACTAAAAATGTTTCCTGTTTTTATCGATGTGTATAGTGACTACATTTATTTTGTTACAGTATGTGGAGTTGCTGTAGTTTGGAGACAAGTCTTACCGAGTCTCTGAGGATGCTGAGGAAAGTTCTCCTGAGGAGGATGAGGAACTGAGTCATGCAGCTGGCAGAGAAGCTGTGACAACCTTCAGACGAACAATTCTGACCCCCAAAAATAAACAAAAAATTAAACAATCAAGATCTGTCTGCTCTACAAACACCATGTCTGTTCGGTTTGTTCCTCAGATTTTTAATCATGTGYAAAACTTTCATTTTTCAGGGTTTAAAAACATCTGCAGCTGATTTATTTATTTTTATCAAGTTAAAAAAACTCAGAGGATGCTGAGAGCTGAAGCAGTTAAAAGAGCTAAAACAGTTATAACAAAAATTAAATTAGCAGAGCAGCTAAAAAACAGACAAAAAACAACAAAAAAGCTAAAAACAAATTTGTTACAAAAGGCTAAATATTAGCCAAAATCTAGAATTAGTGAAACAGTAGCAAAAAGCTAAAATGGATAAAAATTAGTCAAAAAATTTAAAGGCTCAGCTAAAATTATATAAAATAGTATATATAATCTCAAATCAGCCTAAAGGATAGGTAAACCAAGCTAAAATCTGTTCAAATGTACATAAAAAATTAAATATTAGCTAAAGCTAGAATTAGCAAATCAGTAATAAAAGCTTAGATTTGCTAGAGTTAAACTTCTTAAAATAGTAGCTAAAAGCTAGAACCAGCAGCTAAAACTAGCAAAAGAAGCTAAAAACAAAATTGATTAAAACCAGTACGTTAAAAGTACAATTAGTAAAACAGTAGCTAAAGATCAAATTATAGTACGCTGAAGAATTAAAGAGATTTTAATTCATTCATTCACTTAAATAGGAAACAAAGTTGCATATTTTCATAAACATAAAAGTTACACAATCCTAAATGAGCTAAACAAGCATAACATAAGCTGAACTGTTGCCTGAATGGACAATATGGGAATGCTTTTGTTTTTTTCTYAATTTTTTTATTCTGCTTTTGAAACTTTTTTTGCCAACAGCATCAATCAGTCAATAGAGTAAAAGATTACAAGATTAAAACTTCCCTTTTGCAAACAAAAAATAATTGTTACTTACATCAAAAACAAAAATATTTACTGCAGCTTCCTAAAAATATGATTTAATGAACAAATTAATTGTTTACATGTAAATATTTTTAACTAAACATAAGTAATATTTATTACCAGTGAAATAATATTTTTCTTCTCCTTCAGGAGCTGGTTGGTGTGTGTTTGTTTTCTACCTCGTCAGCGCGCTGCCACAGGAGCGGGTGGAGGTTAGCATCTCCGTTCAACTCCATTCGGTTGTCCTCCTCCAACTTCCTGTCCTGGAYGGCTCTCACCAGTCTCACCATCTGGTCCCCGTACTCCCCGGATGCCACCTCCATGACTGCAGAGAGGACAGACAGAGGATGGGTTCAACCGAATGGTACCAGAACCTGCTCACTTATGGACACTTCCTGTGAGTCCAGACTGTAAAATACTGACTCGTTAGATCTCCACAGAAACCAGATCAATAAAACCAAATGTGTGTGTGTGTGTGT